GCCCAGCTAGAATAGTATAAAAGGAGCTGAAGACCCCAAGCAAGTCGACGATCCGTCCACCGACCAGTCGGCCAGTCAGTATGATCTGACTACTGATTGAGACATCTGCACACCTGATCCCGATGGGGGGAGCATCGCCGCCGACCAGACGAGACCAGAGGACGAGGAAAGCCGTGGAGAGGTGGATAGCCTAGCGCCGACTCGATGCCCTTCGCCTATGGATCGGACCCTCTGACCCTGCGGGAGTAAACATCGCGCTCCCATAAGGACTTGCGCAGTACAGGTACAGGGATGTGGTAATTGGCAGACTTAATATTGTGTGGTAATTGTATTGAAACGAATTATAATAATACAAGATAAGTGTGTGAATTGCCATCCGAGTCTGAGTCCTCTTTACCCACGGTACCTGCTCGCGACACATACTTCCACCCTTTCTTCTCCTTAGCTTCTCTCCCTCTCCCCTCAAGCACAAGGACAGAGAGAGGTCCATCTTTCTCTTCTGTGTGATTTTAAATCCAGTGCTGGTCACAGAAATCCTCAGGAAAAGAACTGTCTTTCCCTTTGATGTTTGACCAATCATCCTGATAACTGTCTTGGTCACTCACCCATGTTTTGTCATAGGCTGGGTCACAGCTGGAGACATTAGTTGCTGACCCTGTGTAGGGTACCACTTCTGCCTATATTCAAAGCCTGAGTGTTTGAGGGTGTCTGAGGACACTTAAGTTTACAAATGCACTCTCAGGGACATGGACATTACAGGCCACAGTTATCTCAGAATGACTTAACATACTCAACCACACATGCACAGCATGGCCAAGGTCATACATTAGGTGTTTTTCTCACCATGGCTCAGTAAACTGAAAAGACACCATAACTGCTGTAAACTAAAGAACACTGTAACCTTTTAGTTGCTGTTTTGTTGAAGGAATAAAGAGCTGTCAGCTCTTGAGCTCTGGAGCAGCAGCTCTAACTCTCAGCTCTGATGCTGCCCTGATGCTGATGATTGATTCTCTGCATCTTGTTCTTTATTGAGGAATTAATTAACTCATTCACAAAAGACTATATGGACTAAATGGACCCTTCTCCAGGTGCCTCCTGGGAAGGCTCAGCCCTCACACTCTGACTCTGCTCTTTGTCACACCAGACATGACAACTACCTCCCAGCTCCCCGGGCCTCCCAGCATCACTGCTCCCTTCTCTTCCCCAGAGCTTGCTTGGTGCTCTCACTACCCAGCAACACAGCAGCAATCACAGGTCCATCTCACATGGTGCTGCCATAGAGGTCAAGGTCCTGCTAGCCAGCACTCTCACAGGTACAGTGGGACTGCTGCCCGTGCCAGAAGGCCACCCACGACATCCACACACACAGCCTGCCATCCTGCTATGGCTGTTCTCCCTCTTCCTCCTCGTCCCTTCCTGATTAATACAGGCCCCTACCCCACAGGTGGCACTTCCACAGATGCTTCACCCTTTGTCCAGAGCCTCTTGCCCATCAGATGCTGAACTCTGAGTCTCAGTCTCTACAGGCTAAGTGGACAGGACCCTTCCTGGTTGTCTACAGCACCCCAGTGGCTGCCTATCTCCAAGATCCTCCCCAGTAGAGTCATCGTTCTCAGGTAAAACTGTGTTCAGTCACTAACTCATCTGATCCCTCCTTGTCAAAATTGTAAGTAAGCTCCCTCACTTCCCTCAAACTATCCCAAATTCCAGAGTCCCTGCAACATCCATAATTGACAAAGGGTACTTAAAACATCCTGTGTTTCTATTATGTGTTCTTTTATGGATTCTGCTCTCCATTCTGTTGGTACTCCAACTTGGTTCCTTCTTTCCTCAGGGATGAAATCATTTCTCATGCTCACCCTCATCTTCACCCTAGCAAGGGCCCTTTCCCCCTCCTCTCTACACTCTTTAACCCAGTTAGACTTCTTCTTTCTTTTGACACACCCGATGATTATAGCACTCCCCCACCCCCACCCCAGCTTCTCCTGCCAGTTCCTAATTATCTTTACAAGACTCTGCAGTTAACTCATTCCCTGCTAAACCAGTGTCAGCCTCCTTAGACATCTTTCACACTTTTTGTAGGATGCGTTCAGGATGCTGATCCTGACCACTCCTTGATATACCCCTATTCCCCAAGCTCTTTCTTCCATCTAGGCTGCCCATGCTACCCATTTGTCATGTAGTAAGTAGCCATGAGAAGCATCGCCCACTTTCCTGCCCTTCTCTGTATACGACTACAAAAAGATAGAAATATGCCTGGGCTGAATGAGACTTTCACAGCAAACATGCCATTCTTAGCAAACAACAGGAAAAGGCCCATGCTATGCTCAGTAAACAGAACAGATGTCCATAAAGAAAATTTAGGACAGAATATATAATCTCCCTGGCACCAAGAAATCTAGCAATTGTCTGCACACCTGTGCTGACTGTCTTTGGACCTTCAATCATAAACATTCCACTCCAGATTCCTGAGGACTATAGTCCCCTTCTCAAACCCTATAAAAACTTGATTTCTCTCTCAGCTAGCTGGTGCTAAAATCATTCAGAATCTTAGCCCTGTCTGCATCGAGACAGAATAAATCCATCCTTTTCTCACTAAAACCTGTGTCCATGTGGTCTTTCATGCACTGTTTGCAACAGTTTATACCACTGAGATTTTTGTCACCAATTCCCTTGTGAAACCTTTTATTGTTCAGTGATAAAGTTTTTAAATGTATGTATACATACTTTGTATATACTTTTTATATGCAATTTTTCTCCTTGAGAATAAAGACTTATTTCAGCTTAGCAAATCTATCACAGTGTCTAGTAAAGACAGCAACAATAAGTATTTATTGATTGATTTTTTTAAATGGTTTTTCCAGACAATACTAACATATTCTATAGCCCTTTTCTTCAAAGAGCTTCAAGTGGATTTAAAATGTTTCCCCAATAATCCTGCCAGCACTTCTAGGTTTTTATCCGTATCATTCTCTAGGCACTTTGCAGAGCACTTAGACAATCAACATTTAAATGAATTATCCTATGCTCACACCTGGCAAAATAGAGATATTAATGATACTAATAATCAAAACTGAATTACCAATTGTTAGGAAAGAAGCAATGGAAGGTTAGAAAAAAGATGTATTGTGAGTAGAAGAAAAGTAAAGAGATAAAAGATGAGGAAAAGTATACTCAGGTCTTAGAATTGAGCTTCTGATTGTCAGAGAGACTAACTGATTGATCCAAGTCAATGCATTCTGACATGCTGCATGTCTAGCTGAAAGTCATCATTGCTTAAGCAAAGCCTGATATAACCTTGTGTTTTGAGAGGCAATAGTGGCCAACTATTTAGAGTCTGGAAGAGAAAGGAGGTAGTAAGGAAAGTACAGAGCCCCCAAGTATCTCTGGATCAGCTGAGCTCAGCAGCAGCCACCTGCACTTTCTGTCACCATGTTCCTGTGGGGTTAATAAACTCACCTATTATTCTCTAGCTATAAGATCACTTCACTAGGTAGTGATTGAGATTTAAGCTTGAGGACAGATAATGATAACTTACATGAGACAGTGTGGACCATATCAGCTGGCAAACAGGTCCAGGAGTTTTAATATAACCAATTGGCTTATAATTTTTTTCCACTTCAAAGAAAAAGACAGTGTGATCTTTACTCTGAGAAAAAAGAGACACATTTGCCAAATGTATATTACTATGAAATCTAGTTTATAGAGTACAAAAAAGCATTTAATGGCATATGGTATATTCAATGATCATATATCTAAGATTATTCTGAAAACATGATTTAAATTATTTGCTTAATTTTCCCTATTTGTTCCAGTATGTGGTTCTGAAAATGTGAATACCATACTTGTACATAAATTCTTTATACATAAATTAATTCTCAAAAAAAATCCCACAATGTACATGTTTGCATCTTAATGCATGAAGAATTTACACATTCTCTTCATTTATAGGAGTTCTTTTTTGGGGGGGGGTCTTTTGTTTTGTTGGTTTGTTTTCATTTTTGTTTTTTGTAGTGTGAGGATTAAACCTAGGACTTTATATATGCTAGGCAATTGCTCTACCATCAATCCACACTCCCTAGCTTATGGTAGTTCTATTTAAGAACATAAACATGCTAAACGGGTATAGTGGCATATGCCTGCAATCCCAGCACTGTGGGAGATGGAGGCAGGAGGATCACAAGTTTGAGCCCAGCCAGAGCAACTAAGTGGTTTGGCGAAACCTTGTCTCAAACTAAAAAATAAAAAAGAATGGGGATGCAGTTCAGTGCAAAGGCCCTGGGTTCAATCTCCAGTACCCTTCCTCCCAAAAAGCAAGTATAAAATGCTGATTTAAAATAATATATCCACAATGGTTCCCAGATGAAATTTTCTATTCATTTAAAGTAAGAATTAGAACTCAGTTTGTAAAAGTAACTTTTAATGTTCTACAGAAACTACACTGAAAAAATATGAACACAACAAAAGCAAAATACAAATATTTATATTCTTAGAAAATTATTTTCAGGAAATAAGATGCGATCAAGTAGATGGATTTATAACACATGGTTAATCATAAAATTTCATAAGCAACAAGAGGTAAATCTTTAGCTTACCGCTGTTGCTAGAATTTCTCCATCACGTTCATAAGCTAAAGCAGTGACTTGAGCATTATGGGGCTTGAAAACCTGTTTAAAATAAATATCAGCATCCAAAATTTTCTTCCGTCCTGTAAAAAGTGTGAGCCCTTTTGGATCATAGAGTTCAAGAATTCGAACAACACCATCTTCAAATCCTATGATAATTTGTGCTCCAGAGTAGTTTACCTTGGAATAAAATTAAATGCATAGGACCCAAGTTTAGTTGATTAAGAAATACATGCTACACAACAGATAAATTATTTAGACTTGATTAATTTAACATTGGCTGCTCCTTGACAACACTTTATACAGTGTTGCGGTAACCTCCACTGTATAAAGTGGTAACCTCCACTTTATACAGTATTGTGGTAACCTCCATTAATTTTAAACAGTTCTTTATCACTAATGGCCACAATAGGGGTAAACAATGGCAATTCAAACATTCAGTGAGCAGAGTGTCTACCTACCACATACTGGGGACCTATTACCAGCAATTCAATCATGAACATAAGCAGATCCAGTTTCATGTCTCCCATTATCACACAAAGGAGTTTGAAATAGTAATTAAAGAAAAAAATTATTTTCAAGAAACTCCCAGTTATTGTAAGCTGCAAATACAATGTGGGGTTTTACTCTGAAAATGACTCCTTCTACCTGGCAGGCTAGAGTTTGAAAAGAAATTCAATGTAGCATCTTTGATGCATAGAAATGATATAATCAGAAGCCATTTTGGGAAAAGGTTTATTATTTAAGATTGAGCTACTCTGGGAATCATAAGCTACAGAATAACTACACTTCAGGGTCTCTGGGGTCAATCTACCATAGTGATTGGGTGGAGACAGCCACAAGAGGCAGTTGTGGAGAAGGGGAGGGCTAGTCCCAGATACCCTGAGAAGTTTTAGCAGTGACAAGCTCAGGTTGTAAAGGACATGGTGGTTCCACTCCCTGTGATGAGAAACCAGGCCAGTCATGTAGTTTTCTGAGAAAGCTGTGTCTGAAAGTGCTGATATTAAGTCTAATGAATCCTTGGACCCTCTTGCTGCCTATATCCAGCACAGGGCTCAGTGTTATTTGGATTTTCCGATTAACTTGGACAGTTGCTTGGACAGTTGCTGCATTCTGGGGTGTACAGACAGAGAGACCTCTGGAGCAAGGAAGGCAGCTCATGAGCCAAGGGGACATGAAGCTAGTCAGGGATAGCAGTGACTTGGGACTCGCAGAAGCACATAAATAGTAAGAGCTGTTGGAGTGAATATAGCCTGAAGGTAGACACCACACCATTGACTGACCATGCCCAGAAGAAAAGGCCAGGCAAGAGAGCACTCACATGGCAAAAACTGGGTGTGGAAACAAAACAGACCCTGTGACTCACTATTCCTCACCCACATCTGACAGATCCCAATACCACAGGCTGTGGAAGGAAACCACTCACCAAACACATGGAGAAAATTTTTTGACTCATCTCTTTTTTTTATCTTTGTTTGTTCTGTGGGTTGCTTTTTTTTTTTTTTCTTTTTATCCTATCTTTTATTCTTTGTTTTTATATTTTTTCTTATTTAGCTTTTCATCTTTTTCTGTTACTTTTTCCTAATTCTATTAACTTTTATTCTTTAATCAAATTTTTGTCTCACTGTTCTCTCCTCCTTTTCATCTTCCTTTTCATTCTTTTGCAAATTTTACTTATTTCATTTTCTCTTTCCTTTACTCTTCCATTTTTATTACTATTAAACTTCATAAATTTTAGCTATTTAGTTGACTCTATGCTATTATTGCTGAATTTTTTTCCTATTGTTAATAGTGGTATAGTCATTGCTTTTAGTAGATATTTTCTGTATGTCAATATTTAGTTTGTCTTTATCTAGTTATTATTGATGATCTCTTTTCTATTGCTAAGGATGGTGCAGTTATAGCTATTATTAGTTCTTATGGTATGTTAATAACCAATTTGTCTTTGAGTTTATTATTATTGCTCACTTCTTTTCTATTGTTAATGTTGGCATAGTGTTGCTTTTAATTGGTTTTTCCTGTATGCCATTATCTGGTTTGTCTTTGTGTCATCAACATTACTGCATTTTGTTTCCTCCTCTATGTGTGATGATGAGATCAAGCCCCAAGAAGAAGGCTAGACAGTAAAGATACCCTCAAATATTATGCTGACTAGGTTGCAGAAGGGTCTAGATACCATAAACATAAACAAATCCAGGAACACATTACAAGGAGTCAGACTCTTAACTAAAGTTATCTCCACTGTAGTAACAGAGTTTCTCTACCCTAACTGACCTTCAACACACAGTGTTAAAACAATAGAAGCATGAGAAAGTAAGGCAAAAGATGTCCCCAAAAAACTTAACTTCCCAAAGGCTGATCTCACAGATACTGAAGTAGAGGAAGCTATACTCAAAGAACTCAAAAACCAAATTGTCAAAATGTCTGAAAAGATTAAAAAAACAAAAGAAACATATAAGCAAATGCATAAAATATTTAATGAGCTCAAAGAGGACTTAATTAAACAAAGATTTTTCTAATAAAATGTTTGATAATCTTAAAGAAGACAATAATTGAGTTAAGTAAAACAAAATATGAATTACTACTTTGGTGAAGAACTAGAAAGTGTGAAAAGAAAGAAAGTAGAAATAGACAATATGAAAAATTCATTGGAAAGCATGGGTAGCAGATTTGACTGATATGAGGACAAAGTGTCAGAAATAGAAGACAGGGTAGATGTAGTAGATCATAAGTTCAATGATACTTTAAAACTGACAAGACCATGTAAGCTGGATCCAAGCTTCTAGATGACTCAAAAAAACAACAACTTCAGAATTTTAGGAATAAACAAAAAATCAGAAGATAACTCAAAAGTTATAAAATTTATCCACTGAAATTATAACAGAAAAATTTCCAAATCTAGGGAAAGAATTCACTACTCAAGTACAAGAGGCATATAGAACCCCAAATAGACATGACCAGAAAAGAACCTCTTCACAACATATCATAATCAAAATTTCAAAAATTCAACAAAAAGAGAAAATACTAAAAGTTGTTAAGAGAAAATCAGCAAGTAAACATAAATGCATGCCCATCAAAATAACTGCAGATTTCTCAGCACAAACTTTAAAGGCCAGGAGAGCATGAAACAAAGTTTTTCAAGCCCTAAAATAAAAAAATTGTCAGCCCAGACTTTTATATGCTGCAAAATTACCCTTCAAAATTTACAAAAAAGTAAAAACTTTTTACAACAAAGAAATCATAAAGAAGTCCAGGACCACTAAACCAGCATTGCAGAAAATACTTAAAGGAATCCTAAACAGAGACAGGAACCCCACCAGCAGCAAAGAGGCATATAGAAGAAAAAATAAAGGAATCAGCATTGGAAAATAATCCAATGATAGTTATTCAATAAACATCTTACAATAATAACGTTCAATGCCAGTGGTTTAACTCGCCAATCAAAAGGCAGATTGAATTTTTTAAAAAGTAACTATATA